TCATCTAATCTGAGGTGAATAGAGATGCGGCCACAGTGGTGTCAGATTGAAAATATCTATTCAAAAGCACAACACCGTCACGTTTAGTTGAAGTACGCAGCCACGCCCACCACATCTCAGGGATTTCGAGTGTATATCCATTCTGAGGCTTAGATTTACATGGCGGCTAGCTAAGAGAGGAAACATGGGATAATTCGTGCCATCCCGAAGCTTTGCCCAACTACCTGTCCCCAGAAAATCCCTTGGATTTAGTATCTATCATTGACTCGTCGCGACTTGTCCTAGTCTTTTTTTCTGTTTTGAATGAGACAGCTCGAAGTCCCCACGGACTCTTCACAGCCACTGCCGATGCCGCACCAAAGCTTTAGGAAAGGTGGACGAAATAGCGCCCTGCTGTATCCTCAAAGTCTACGACAGTCGTATAGGTGGAGACAGCGAATCATTCTACCTTCCTCATTGGTGCAACCTTTCTTCGGAAACGCACAGGATAATGGAGCAACGCACAACGGTAGATTGGTGCACCCCGCCATCCAAAACCTTAGCAACGATAAGCAAGGACGCGTCTTTGAGTAAGGTGCCGTCACTCACTGTCTTAGCCCACGTCGCACTTTATAGGTTCCACTGCAAAAACCTTGACAGCGTACACTTATTGTATGCAAATTTATTGTCCAGTACGCCCTCAAATGCCTCCATACTTCAATGTCGTGGGTTCCCTGGCTCATTTTAAAGGATTGTTCGGCGTGCATTGAATGTCCCATTATTGGTGGCGCTGAATGTTCTGTTATTGGTACGACAACGATGAAAAAACAGTGAAGTGAAGATTTCAATCTTCTGAAAATGACCCGCGCGTTCCATTTCTTTTCCAAGTAAGGGCATTTGTATTCGGGACAATGGCGTGAGAAATGGGTCTTCCTATGGTTCCAGTGATAACCGCACCCGGCGCAAATCGGCGACGGGAGGGGGAGGCACTCTGCTTCTCGTGGATGTGTCGACCTCTGAGTAGCCTTTTCTTGAGTTGACACGTTTTACCATGATGGCTTGAAGAGCTTGCTTCAGCTTCACAAGAGTTCACAAGTTTCACCAGAGTGAGACTTGTAAACCGGAAGTAGTGAAGCAGTGAAAGTGCAAAATGCCCCCTCGTCGCCGAACTGCGCCGCCGCACCTTTTTCACTATACCATCTCCTGCCTTAAATAAAGATTTCGAAGGAATTTCCTTCATTTGTTAAATTTCCTGGTGCAGTTCGACTTGGTGGGGCGCCATATGGTGCTCAGCTAAGCTTTTGCAGGCCTGTAAATTCCCATGACACTCGCACCATTCTGGAAGCTCACAGGTATCCCACCCAGAATACGGCCTTTTTTAATATGGATGTTGAATGAACGCGTCCCACCCTATCACTCCTCCAAGTCCCGTTCCCTTTGGTTTCCTTCCCCTCTTTTAGCTTCGCGTTCCCTTTTTCGTCATACATTATTGCCTCTTCCCCTTCCAAGCTCTTCTCTTTCTCGCGCCCCGACACGCGTCCGTGCTCCGGCGCTCCCCACTTTGACCCTTCGCAATTACATCTCCTTCCAATTGTGTAAGCTATTCCTAACCTACTGTCGTCCAGCCCAAAACTTCAGCTAAGCATAAGCACGGTTCCATCTTCATGCTTGTCGCCTCAGCATGCTGTCACCCCTGCTACCACAGGCATTCTAACTCCACTCTCGGCTTGACGGGTGTTTGAAAAGGAAAGAGAATATCTCTGGGTAAAACTGGCAGCGAAAAGTTCCGGGATATTAGGCAAGAGGCAGTTGGAGTCGGGATGAGAAATAGATGGGTCCGCGCTGTTTATCGACGGGGGTGGGCATTTTGTATTATAATTGCTTCCCTGGTTCCGGTTTACAAATCTCACTCTGGTAAAACTGTGAACGCTTGTGAAGCTGGAGCAAGATCGTCTAGCCACCATCCTAAAACGTGTCAACTCGAAAAAAGGTACCTAGATGGGTTGGCAAATCTATGAAAAGCAGAATGCCCCCCGTCGATAAACAGCGCCAGAGGGTCCTATCAGAAAAGAAGCTTTCGAGGGGGTCGCATGTTGGCAGGACGTGCCCTGCCCGGTGTGTTCAACTGGAATCTGTCGGTATCGTAAATGACACACTTTGCAACTGATCCAGTTCGTGTGAGAACCGAAAAATGACCGCCAGTCCATCCATCATGTTAATCCTTTTTCCATACTTTAAATTCGTTGCCTTTTTCCTGCAACTGGAGTGGGATCTGTTGTAACACTCTTCAGCGGCAATCCCGTACAGGCCGAACCAATTCACTTGCAATTCAGTGCTTTTTTATAGCTACGGAATTCCTTTGATATCTTTTTTGTAACTCTGTTTCTTCTTTAAAGTATTGCACTTATTCCCGTTCAAAAGATTTCTTGCCTACACCCTCTTTTTAGGTAGTTCGCCTTTACGGTTGAACACCTTTACAACCCGACCATTTACTTTTGTAATAAATTAGGCATGCACGACTAGGTCCGGTTTTCTTGCCGCAGCGCTCGTTCTAGAGTTTTTTAAAGAGGATCTGTACAGTGCCGGAATTTTACAGAGCTTGTACGAATCAATACGAGAGATGTTGCCTTCCGAGGCGGTCTAGTCAGCAGAAATATTAGCTTCCGACGCGATTCAATGCTTACCATTTGACATTCAATCTCTCATAGCATTGTCTCGATTTGATCGATATTTGTAAGCGGAAGAGATGATTCCTCATTTCATTTTTTCTTTCTTTCCAGAGTCGGCTGTTTTCCCTACATCAAATATCACTGCACAAAGAGGCCAGTCCAAGACCTCAGCGCTGAGAACAGGCTGCGGTTTGTGAATCTGGTGAGTGAGCTTTTTTTCTGTATGGGGGAACGTTGAAATGTTCTTCCTTACGGGGTGCTATGATTCTTAGATAGGTCACTAGTCAGCTGACCGTGAACGTGCCGTTACAGTTCTATGAGTTTCCATAATGTCGAGGGAATCTTCTTCGAAAAAAAATTGGCGGTGTTCGGCTTGGGAGGGGTGGTTTTCACTTTCGCCAGTTCCTTTTGGTAGTTGCTATCGATTACTGGTCTTTTGGTGAGATGTTGTAGCGTCTTGTGAAGGCTGGCTAAGTAGGTAAAAGTGGGGACGCACTTGGTTACAAGATTGTACATGGTATTATTGCGATGTATGCCTGGTGCAAGGTTGTTAGGGGCGCCCGGCCTAAAGACAAACTATATTGAAAGCTTCCATAATTTGAAAGCTGATATTTGAAAAATGTCGTAAAAACATAAGAATTAGAAACTAGTGAATTAAAACTGGATGACCATGGCTTGCAACTATCGTAATTTGAGGGACAATTTGGGCTTGGGGGGGCATTTGAGGAGTTCGTGCTGCGTGCGAGGGCTTATCAGTTCGTGAAGAATTTTTCGATTGTTTATATTTTTTTCGTTCCACGTGCGCGCTCTCAGAAACGATCTGAGGATCTGAGAAACGGATGAATTATGTTGAATTAGCTTTATGTCTGGAATCGCGCTGAGTGTATGGACAAGAGCGTTGTCCGCGCAGATGGAGCATGCAAACCCCGCAGCGTCATGCTTTATAAGAGCGAGATGCTTTAGTGGCAATTAAGTCCACCAGGACTGTTCATATACCCTCCTGTTCAGTTGTTAATTTAATTGATCGCCAAAAACACTTCTAGAGTTGAAAAGTGAAGAGGCGGACCGACTACGATTACAGCGATAATGAGTTAAGCTTGCTCGTTGCGAGAGCGATGAAGTGCAGGGTTACGACGTCTTGCGCAGGGATCAGAGCTGCGACGACGTAACTGAGGCGACTAATTTTGGCCCTCAGCATTGTTGTCATAACTTTTTGAGCTATAAATAGCTGTTACCATAATGAAACTGGTCTTGTTTTGTTTGAAAATCCCATATCGATTTGACTGTTTAACTTATAACAAGAGTAGATGAGCAAACGAGTAGATTCATCTCTTTTAGGTATTCCATGTGTGTTGTACGGCATCGCAGCTATTGCACTTATCAAACACACTGAGACCATTGAAGACGAACAGACAAAGAAAATTGTTCGAATACATTTTCTCATCAAAGAAGATCATAACTGAGTCAGTTGGTTTCAATTAATCAATTAAGTAGTTGATATCTTGTCAAAGCACAGTCCACGTTGATAGCATGGGCGGGACAAGCTTACCCTTGCTGTCCTCTTTTCTTAAACGGTAAGAAAGAGGGGTATCTAGTGAGGAAGGCGTCGCGATAGGCCTGACTCTGCCTATACCACAAGTGCGCCAGTGAGGAAGGTGCAATGATGTTTCTGATCCCGCCCATATGATCAATGTGAACTGTGCCTTTAGTGTAAAATAATAAATAATAATGAATATAGTTTGTACTATTAAAACTAGTCACTATCAGTTGGAGCTGTGCGATAGACCTCTTGAATCCTCCCATATTATGTGGAGGCAAAGTCACGAGTTATGCTCAGTGAGATGGGTTTTTGAGAATCGCCACGCAGTTGACTTCAATTTAGCACAGGAACAGTGTCAGTAGGTGCGGGACGTAATCACCTTGACCAGTATGGGGTGACGTGCCAATGTTCACGCTTGGGATGGGGTGGCAACGGACCAGCACCTCGTTGCCAACCTGGAAGTTAGGTGGCGCAGGTGTACCGTAATATTCTGGAAATCAATAAGATGAAGACAAAAATCCCCTCATTGGATAGTTGCAGGGCATAGTTAAAGGCAGTTGGCACGATAAATCCCCCAAGACGACTAGGATCAATACTCCTGGCAGGATAGAATTCCGCGACCCTGGGCAGGCGCTGCATAGCGGTTTCCCCGAGGTGCCCTTATAAGGGCCCTATCAAGCCACAACTTTACC